TGTCTGTTCATATCCTTTGCCCACTTTTTGATGGGGCTGTTTGTTTTTTTCTTGTAAATTTGTTTGAGTTCTTTGTAGGTTCTGGATATTAGCCCTTTGTCAGATGAGTAGATTGAAAAAATTTTCTCCCATTCTGTAGGTTGCCTGTTTACTCTGATAGTAGTTTCTTTTGCTGTGCAGAAGCTCTTTAGTTTAATGAGATCCCATTTGTCAATTTTGGCTTTTGCTGCCGTTGCTTTTGGTGTTTTAGACATGAAGTCTTTGCCCATGCCTATGTCCTGAATGGTACTACCTAGGTTTTCCTCTAGGGTTTTTATGGTATTAGGTCTAACATTTAAGTCTCTAATCCATCTTGAATTAATTTTCGTATAAGGAGTAAGGAAAGGATCCAGTTTCAGCTTTCTACTTATGGCTAGCCAATTTTCCCAGCACCATTTATTAAATAGGGAATCCTTTCCCCAAACTACAGCAAATACTTGAGGCATAGTCATGTATTTGAAGAGAAATTTATGAAATGTATAGATCATGGCTCATTTACAAAAGACATCATAATCTAGTTATTCCAGGCTAGGTTAAATGATCAAATTTGCTGTCCTGTCTAGCTTGTTTTTACTTCTCTATGTGTAATTGAGGTGGCTGAAATTGAGGATTTTTCTAGTTTAAAATTCTGAGCTTATTTGATCTTATTGTGACTTTAGTCAGAGGAGTTTTTGAATTATTTTATTTGCTTGAACTGCATTAAAACATTCACATTTTAAAATTTAGTGATTCCTGGACCATAAGATCTGAAAAGGATGAAACTGCCCATTCATCTTTTAGTAAACTGACCAATTGACCTGATTCTAGTAAGAATTAGTCTGAAACAACACCACCACCTGGTGGCTTCTCTTCAAATATCACAATTTCCTTGAAGATGATGGTTTGGCCTCTTGTATCAAATTAGGACAAGTGCTTCAGTTATGACTATCCTAGGAAACAAGTTTAATCATATTGCAGAATATATGCTCAAGAATTAAACTAATATTTATGGCCTTGGCCTCAAAAACTTATTTTGGAATTTAAATATCTGTTTATTGGCCATGTACAGGAACAAAATAGTGAACCAATAGGCAAGAATATTTGCATTCATAGATCTTACATTCTAGTGAATGTAAGACAATAAATAATAAGCATAATAAGCAAGTAAATTATAATCTGTTTGGTGAGAAGTTGTATTAAAAGGGTAGGTTGCAATTTTTAAATAGGATGACATTTGAGGTGAGATCAATTCTACATGGTTGTCTAAAGAAAAAAATTCCAAAGACTTACAATCTAAACATTTAGTTTTGACCAGGTGCAGTGGCTCATGCCTGTAATCCTAACACTTTGGGAGGCTGAGGCAGGAGGATTACTTGAGTCTAAGAAGTCAAGCTCAGCCTGGGCAACCTAATGGGACCCCATTTCTACTAACAAATTAAAAAGTTTTTAATTTGCTTTGCACACCTGTAGTCCCAGCTACTTGCGAGGCTGAGCTGGGAGAATCGCTTGAGCCCCGAAGGTTGAGGCTGCCATGAGCCATGATGACACTACTGCACTCCAGCGTAGGTGACAAAGTGAGACCCTGTCTCAAATAAATAAATACATAAATAAATGAAAACCAAACATTTAGTTTTAATTCTAGTATGATGCTATAATTCTACTTCCTCAAAGACTTCATTTTAATAAGCAAGAAACTGTAATGCTAGGTCAATTTTTTTTTTTTTTTTTTTTTTTTGAGACTGAGTCTCCCTCTGTCACCCAGGCTGGAGTGCAGTGGCGCGATCTCCTGTCACTGCAAGCTCCGCCTCCCGGGTTCACGCCATTCTCCTGCCTCAGCCTCCTGAGTAGCTGGGACTACAGGCGCCCGTCACCACGCCCGGCTAATTTTTTGTATTTTTAGTAGAGACGGGGTTTCACCATGTTAGCCAGGATGGTCTCGATCTCCTGACCTCGTGATCCACCCACCTCTGCCTCCCAAAGTGCTGGGATTACAGGTGTGAGTCACCGTGCCCGGCCAGCTGCTAGGTCAATATTAATAGGAATGACTACATTTTGAAAAGCAACATTGCCCTAAAGACATATATCTTTCCTACAGAGTAATGGCTGTCGTTAGTTAGAATCACAAAATATACAGGAACTAACAGTTTTATTTTATTTTTCAACACCTTATCATGACCTTTATGCATTTGCGTTCCTATAAAAGTAGGAACTTTGCTCTTGTCATAAATTGAGAGAAGCAGTGGTGGAGGTAGGATGTAATCACCAATAAAGATTAGCTAAGTTTCTCTTGGCTATTTATGGCTTTGTTAATTATACATTTGTCTCAACACTTTTATTCTTTTTAAAAATTTTTTTAAAATATGGAACGCTTCAATTTGCATGTCATTCTTGTGCAGAGGCCATGCTAATCTTCCTTGTATTCTTCAATTTTAGTATATGTGCTGCTGAAACAAGCTCTCAACACTTTTTTAAAAAACTTTGAGTATTATGTGTTGATAACTATTCTATTTTGTGTGTGTTGGCTCATTAAATCTCCTTATTCAATGTCTCAACACTTTATCCATTTATTAGCAAAAAGATCTTGCTCTGTTGCCCTAGCTAGATCATAGTGGCTTGATCATAGCTCACAGCAGCCTCGAACTCCTGGGCTCAAGCGATCCTTCTGCCTCAGCCTCCTAAGTAGCTGGGACCACAGGTGTGTGTCACCAGGCCAGGCTAACTACAAAAAAAATTTTCTTTTTGTAGACAGGGGGTCTCATTATATTGCCCAGCTGGTCTTGAACTGCTGACCTCAATCGATCCTTCCGCCTCAATCCAAAGTGCTAGGATTACAGGAATGAGCCATTGCTCTGGCCTTTGTTTTGTTTTCAATGCCTGTAGGGAATTAGGTCAGTTCTTTACTAACAAAGCAAAGCATTATATGGTCAAATTTTGAAAAATAAGATTTTTTTAATCAAAATGCCTAATGGGTCTTTTTTAGTCTTTATCACACTGTCATTTCCACAGTGACTTGTAATTAGGTGCTTAATATAGATTCTGAAAGGCTGTCAATACATGTAAATTTGTATATAGTATTTCAGTTTACAAAGCATCCTGATATATATCTCATTTATCTGGTTCAGAATATGTAGTTTGAATACAAATTTATATTACAGCACATTTTTCCTTTCAGTTCTATTTTATTTATTTTTTTGAGACAGAGTCTTGCTCTGACGCCTAGGCTGGAGTGCAGTGGGGCAATCTCAGCTCACTGCAACCTTCACCTCCCAGGTTCAAGAGATTCTCCTGCCTCGGCCTCCCGAGTAGCTGGGATTACAGGCACCTGCCACCACGCCCAGCTAATTTTTGCATTTTTAGTAGAGATGGGGTTTCACCACGTTGCCCGAGCTGGTCTTGAACCCCTGACCTCAGGTGATCCACCCACCTCGGCCTCCTAAAGGGCTGAGATTACAGGCATGAGCCACTGTGCCTGGCCTTAGTTCTCTTTTAAAGGGAATCTCTATTTTCAAGAATTACATACATCATACTCAAATATAAATCTGACATCGACGTAAGTTTGAAGTAGTAATGGCCAAGATCTTTCAAGTAGCAGCAAACTAATCTTGTTTAAGAGGAGGTATTATAGAATCATAAGCACAGAGGTCCAATAATTAGACCACACAGTGCTTACAAAGGATAGGCTTAGAAAGGTTTGGGTGTTTAGGTAAAGAGCTCTTCTCCCCTTCTCAAACCATTAACAAAAATAAAAATAAACAAACTTTTCCTTGCAGGAAAATTTCCGTGAACCTGTGGTTTTGGGGGCAAGGGTGAGAACAACAGGCAAACCTAGTTCAGAACCTAGACAACTAGAGGGGTCTGCAAACAAGTCAAAACCAAAATAGGCGTGGTTGGTGAGCATGTACATTGGTACAGCCATTATGGGAGGCAGTATGGAGGCTCCTCAAAAAATTAAAAATAGAACTACAGTGTAAACCATATAGTATATACTACATATCATATATGTATATATACCATATATACAATATATACATATATACCATATATTCTGGGTATATATCCAAATAAAATGAAATCACTATGTCAAAGAGCTATCTGCATCACCATGCTCATTGCAGCATTATTCATAATAGCCAAAGTATGGACTCACCTAAGAGTGAACTAATGGACAAAGAAAATGTGAAATATAGGAATGTGGTATATATATGTATATTTATATACATAATGAATACTATGCAGCTTTTAAAAAGAAGAAAATCCTGTCATTTGTGATAACATGGATGAATTTATGCTAAGGGAAATAAGCCAGGCACAGAAACACAAATACTTCATGATCCCACTTATATGTAGAGTCAAAAAAAAGTGTAACTCGTAGAATTAGAAAGCAGAATAGTGGCAGGATCTCGGCTCATGACAACCTCTGCCTCCCAGGCTCAAGTGATCCTCCCATCTCAGCGTCTCAAGTAGCTGGGACTACAGGTGCCACTGTGCCTGGCTAATTTTTTTATTTTTTTGCAGAGATGGAGTCTCACTATGTTGCCCAGGCTGGACTCCAACTCCTGGTCTCAAGGGATCTGCCCACCTCGACCTCCCAAAGTGCTGGGATTACAGGCCTGAGCCACAACACCTGGCCGATCTTAAATATTCTTAGCACAAAATAAACATATACACACACGCACACACAACTATGTGATGTGATGGATATGTTAATTTAGTTTCATTGTGATAATCATTTCACAACATATACATCTATGAAAACATCACATGGTACACTATAAATACATATAATTTTTATTTAAAGCAGAAGAATTCTTTAAAAATAAACTAAAAAGGCAGTCCATAAGCTTCTGTTGAATGGATGAAAATCTGTACTATAAATAAAAACATAATATGCAAAGGTATTAATAAGATTTGGAAGAAAACCTAAGAGAGTGTTAACAGTAGTGACTACTGGGGATCACCGAGATACAGGGTATTAGGGATGGAAGGTTTACTTTTTTTTTTTTTTTTTTTTTTTGAGACGGAGTGTCGCTCTGTCGCCCAGGCTGGAGTGCAGTGGCACGATCTCGACTCACTGCAACCTCTGCCTCCTGGGTTCAAGCGATTCTCCTGCCTCAGCCTCCCGAGTAGCTGGGACTACAGGCGCCCACCACCACGCCTGGGTAATTTTTTGTATTAAGAGACGGGGTTTCACCGTGTTAGCTAGGATGGTCTCGATCTCCTGACCTCGTGATCCGCCCGCCTCGGCCTCCCATAGTGCTGGGATTACCGGCGTGAGCCACCGCGCCCTGCCGGAAGGTTTGCTTTTCAATGGATCTTTGGGAAGTTTTAAAACATACATGCTCAACCTTTAGAAATTACTCTAGGGGAAATTCCTTCTCCACATCCTCTAGGTGTGCTTCCTTCCTCCTCTGAACACACTTCACTATCAAAACCTACATTACTTCCAACAGTCGACCCTCGAGGGAATAAGTCCCTGGTCCCCACGATCGTGACCAGCCAGTCCACACTGCCGACCCCAGAAATGCAGTCTCAAGTGCTCGGTCAGCGAGAAGAAAAGCGGGCGAGGTCCTTGTTCTGCAGGCCACAGCGAAGACAAAAACCTCCAGTTACTGGCCTCAGGTGTAAGGCTGCTCCGCATTGGCAGTGCGGGACCATTCCTATCATTATTACGTAGTCTTGTTTCCTTCTGGGAGAAAGCACCTGGGGAGAGTTGGGCTGGCCCCTCCGGGCTCTCCGGGACACGCGCCCTCTGTAACGCCGCAGCCTGCGCCAGCGTCGGACAGGGACGTCTCATCGAGGCCCGACTCGCATTTTTAGTTGTCAGATTCGCCACTTTTTGGTGTCAGAATTTAAAAGAAAAATTCCAGTTTCTCTATTTCAGAAGCTCTTTCTGTACAGAAAAACAGAAGCAGGAGATACTTCAGGCTTTTGAATTATTTTTCTCTTCTGGCGTCCACAGTATCTACATCCAGTGAGCGGGGACCGTGAGTCGAAAACGACGACGTGGATGCTCAGGCCACAGTTCCCGGCGCGCAGTCGCAGCTGCCCCTCGCTCCCGCCCCCGCCTGGAGTCCGACGTGGAAGTTGCTGGCTGAGTGGGCTTGCGAGGAAACCGCCTCGGAGCTGCAGCCGAAGGCCAAGGAATCACTGAAGATCGGCGAGGGAGGACAGGCGGTTCATCATGGGTGAGGGGTTCGAGAAGGGCACCCAGGCGCGTTCGAGGCGGCCGCGGCCGAGGGCTGGGGTGCAGAGGAGGAGAGGGGCCGGCTGGGGAACCCTAGAGTAGCCAGCTCCTCAGGGGGCGGGTCGCCGAGGACTTAACTTACCTCGGATCTTCATTTCTAGGGGTGGATCCGGCCTTTCGCGTTCTCCTCCGCCGTCTCTAGTTTCCCCTTCATTCCCGCGGGGTCCGGGGACCCGGACAGCGCGGGTCTGCAGAGCCTGGGTTCGAGTTCTTTCCCCTTATCATGAAGTTTTCCCTCATCCCCAGCTCCACTTGCTGGGCAGAGTTGTTCTTGCGAAGGCTGGCAACGCGTCAGTCGCCGGTTCGCTGAGGTTTCTTGATGAAAGATGAGCTGCGGCCCCAGAGTGGAAGCTTAATTATTCTCTTTACCAGGGGCGCTGGGACGGCGTCAGTTTGAAAAATCCGAGAGCAGGTTTTGCTTATGTTGTTTTATGGCCAGTTTGGCGTTTGTCTGCTCATCTGCTGTAGCGTTTCATGCAATAATACGGGTATTTCTAGTCGATAAATGAAATTTTATTCTCAATTCTTGGCCCACTGATTGAGGGAACTTGCATTCTCACAAGCATCACTAGGGTCCAAATAAGGGTGCACGTTCTTTAACTTGTTTCCCACCCTCCAAATGAAGGTGCAGATTCTTTGGCTTGGTTAAATCCCTCCACAGTTTTCTGGGGAGCATACTTCTTGCTCCCAAGCATCACAGGCGCTGTCCTGTCTTCCATAACCCGCTTCAGTTTTGTTCCGGCTCTCTTCTACCTGTAAATGGTAGAAAGGACTTTGTCAAGTCACACCCATTCTGTTGAACTTTCCCAAGGTTCTCTAGCCCGTGGTGGTGTTCATTTTTCAACTGGCAGCTCTTAGTTATACCATGTCTTTGCCGAATAACAGTGTGGCATCCCTTCTGATGTGAACGATTTTTTTTTGTATCGTTAATGTAACTTGTTTTTAATCTTCTCTAATGGCTCTGGATGGGAAAAGGACTGTGCTTTTATACTACACAATACTTGGTGTACAGGAAGCTTTCTGGGAATATTTTGTGATGCATTGGATAGAGCTTTATTATTTTTTAAAATGGGTTTTCTGTCAAAAATTGTTGTTTTCAGCTTCTTTCTCAATTTCTTGTACTAGTTACATTGCTTGGTGGAGAACTCTGATTGAAGTTGGTTACAGTGGTACTGCCGCTGTACAATACTTTTCCTGTGCGAGGATTACATTGTCCCACTATCTTCCTTACTGGCCCCTTGGTTTTTGGGGGTAGTGAGGGGATCATATTAAAATATTCCTATTCTGCTGATTAGAAAATGAGATTCCCAAAGACAGCGGCCATATTTCTCTTATTCTTTGGTTTATCTTCTGTGCCTGCATGACACAATATTTAGGACATAGTAACATAACTAATTACTTGTTTGATGTTGAATAATATATTTCATTAGGAGCAAAAATATGCACCTATGCATCCAGGAAATTATAATATTTAATTTGGTATATAGCTTTCAAAGGACAAGATTAGATGTTTTGTGTACCTAGTTCACAAAATGACATTGTGTATGTTTTTTCTTTTGTTATGTTTTAGGTGGCTTTTTCTCAAGTATATTTTCCAGTCTGTTTGGAACTCGGGAAATGAGGATTTTAATTTTGGGATTAGATGGAGCAGGAAAAACCACAATTTTGTACAGATTACAAGTTGGAGAAGTTGTTACTACTATACCTAGTAAGTGTTGGTATGATGAACTAATTGTAGGGGTTTTCTGGTCTCCATCTAACATAACTCTCCTTCCTTCTTCCCTTCCTCCCTCCCACCCTCCCTCCCTCCCTTCCTTCCTTCCTTCCTTCCTTCCTTCCTTCCTCAGGTATCACTGTGTTGCCCAAGCTGGTCTTGGACTCTTGGCCTCAAGTGATCCTCCTGCCTTGGCCTCCCAAAGTGCTGGGATTACAGGCATGAGCCACTATGCCAGGCCTGTTTCTGAATAAATTAATTCATATAATAAAGCATTTGATAAAGTTTGTAAACTGCTGGTATGAACAAAACATTGATAACACTTTTTTCATCAACTGAGAGGCAGCTTAGTGTAATTTAAGGACCCTTGTTCTGGTTTATGGACGGGTTTGGCTGTTTATAGCTGTTTAAATTACTAAATTTTATTGAGAGCCAGTATCTTTACTAATAAAATACGTAAGATAAATACCCACTGGCTTTCGGGGGAAATAAATGAAGTAGTTAAAAGTACCTTTTAAACCTGTGTAAAGAATTATATAAGTGTTAAGTGATATTACATGTGAAGTGCCTTTTTTTCTGTATGTGTTACTATTTTAATTAAGATTAGTTTATCTAGGTAATTCTATTGATTCTTTTTAAAGATCTGAGTTGTAGAGATTGAGTGTTGAAGTAATTTGGTACCTTAAAAATATCAAAAGAAGGCCGGGCACAGTGGCTCACGCCTGTAATCCCAGCACTTTGGGAGGCTGAGGTGGGTGGATCATCTGAGGTCAAGAGTTCGAGACCAGCCCGACCAACATGGAGAAACCCCATCTCTACTAAAAATACAAAATTAGACAGGCGTGGTGGTGCATGCCTGTAATACTAGCTACTCGGGAGGCTGAGGCAGGAGAATCACTTGAACCCGGGAGGCAGAGGTTGTGGCGAGCCGAGATCGCACCATTGCACTCCAGCCTGGGCAAAGAGCAAAACTCCGTCTCGAAAATATATATGCATATATATGTATATATTTATTAAGAGAAGAAATACCTCAATTTTAATCGATTATTGCTGTCTTACAAAAATATTCTCCAACAGTCTTATTTGACTGTATGAGAATACTGTTGTTATTTATTCTTTTTCATTTGTTGACCTCAATTTACTTGGAGAAGATTAATACATTTAAATTAAATTGAAGAGTTCATACAGTTTGCCCAAGATTATTTAAATTATGCCTCTAACATTACTCTGTCACTCAGGGTATTTCTATATTGTTGCTGTTCAAATTTATGGACTAAAACAAAAGAGGCTAACCTTTAAGAAATAAGAGTGTTTTGAACCCTGTAATGTCTGTTGTTCCTTTTTGCTATCTTCAGCAAATTTTAGTTCCATTAGTTTTTGCTTCTCAAAACCACCCATCTCTGTCTGGGCATCTCCTGCAGTGCACCACCGTGGATAGTTTTGAGTTTCAGTGAGTGCTGCTTTACACCACACTGTTTTTTGAGACAGTGTCTTGCTTTTTTGCCCAGGCTGGAGTGCAGTGGCGCAATCATAGCTCACTGCAGCCTCTACTTCTACCTCCTGGGCTCAAGCCATCTTCCCACCTCAGCCTCCCAAAATGTTGGGATTACAGGCATGAGCCATTGCACCCAGTCTACGCCATTCTCTTGCTTGCACGTGTAAACGATGTTTTTTTTACTATTGGTGAACATTGTGATTACACTCCTACCTAATTCTAAGGGAGACATCGTGAACTTGCATTTTAGTTTTTCACTCAAATTTGTCACAGTATTGTTATTTTTTAATTGTAATAGACATACTTGCCAAATACTCAAAGGTATCACTTCCCACTGCAAACTTAAATATAAAACAAAAGCTAATTGTCCAGTTATAGCCGGAAGTTTTATTTATTTATTTTTTTGAGACAGAGCCTCACTCTGTTGCCCAGGCGGAAGTGCAGTGGCGCCATCTCGGCTCACTGCAACCTGTGCCTCCCATGTTCAAGTGATTCTCATGTGTCAGCTTCCAGAGTAGCTGGGATGACAGGTGTGTACCACCACGCCCGGCTAATTTTTGTATTTTTAGAAGAGATGGTGTGTCACGGTGCTGGCTAGGCTGGTCTCGAACTTCTGACCTCAGGTGATCCGCCCGCCTCGGCCTCCCAAAGTGCTGGGATTACAGGTGTGAGCCACTGCACCCAGCCATGGAAGTTATTTTTTAGCTATTTTTCACCTAAGAAGGATAGCAGAGAAAAGGGATGGGACACCTGCCCTTTGACCATCCAGCCATGACCTGATTACAAGTGAGCTCTTGAGGATGTCTGCAGATGGGCTGTGAGACTGAAAGCTGCAGCCATGGCTGTGTCCATGCTGAAGTTTAGAACTGAAGTTTAGCTTTTCTTGCTTTTGGTCTGTTTATTTGCTACCAACGAAAATTCTACTTTTTATAGTACATCCACAACTGTACTTTCTAAATACAGCTTTCGAACACTCTTAACTGCTCTATTATGAGGGGAGTTTAATAGGATTTCCATTGAGCTAAAAATTATGTTTTCCTTTTTATTTCTTTTTAAAATTCTTTTTTAAATTTATTTGAGCTAAAATTATACACTTTATTTGCAGAACTGCTGGCTTTTAAAAAATATCCTGAAGATGGTATTGATCTTGCTAATTGATGTTTTGTGCATACACGTGCACGTGTGTGGGGGAGCAGAGCATACTATCTCATCTTAAATGGTATAAAATCTCAACCAATAATGTGATTCAACAATTACCATTTCTTTTTAATTCGAATCCTAAGACAAATTATGTATATATATATTTTAAACTTTAATAACAGCTACCATTAATTGCTGTAACTCAATTAGATAGGCTATTTTGAAGGTGGAATGTATTAGTGTACACATACCGCTGATTTGATTTCTCTTCCAGCCATTGGATTTAATGTAGAGACGGTGACATACAAAAACCTTAAATTCCAAGTCTGGGATTTAGGAGGACAGACAAGTATCAGGTATGGTACAAAGACCAGGTTATTTGGTAGTATTTAACATTTATTGGTTCTTTTAAGGGTTAACATCAGTAAACCAGAATATGTGTTCTATTGTGATTTAAATGGAGCCACCTAGTTTAAAATGAGGTAAAATTTGGAACTATTTCCAATCCATTGAGTTAAAACTTAAGGAGCCCAGTTTTCTAGATATCTGTTTAATGAAACTCTTTTCATGAAAATCTGAAGACCTTATTACTTCAGTTATTCTCAACTAGAAAGGACCCTCCATTTAGTTCTTGTCAGCCTCTCCTCTCTGAAACACACTGTTTTGGAATTGATTATACCTTACAGGCCTACCATTTAGGGCTAATATAAAAATAAATGCCATTGGCTGGGCACAGTGGCTCACGCCTGTAATCCCAGCACTTTGGGAGGCTGAGGCGGGCAGATCACTAGGTCAGGAGCTCAAGACTAGCCTGGCCAACATGGTGAAACCCCATCTCTACTAAAAATACAAAAATTAGCTGGGCATGGTGGTGCGTGCCTGTAATTCCAGCTGCCTGGGAGACTGAAGCAGGCGAATTGCTTGTACCGGGACCTGGGAGCCAGAGGTTGCAGTGAGCCAAGATTGCGCCACTGCACTCCAGCCTGGGCTACAGAGCGAGACTCTGTCTCAAAAAAATAAATGATAAATAAAAAATAAATGCCTTCTGCAGTTCAGGTATTCTGCTTAGCATTTTGGGCTTGATATGGCAACAGTGAATGTTTGGTGACTGTCAGTAGTTGCTCACGATGGTACCATCTTAAAAGATTAGTAATGCATTCTCCAAACATTCTGACTTCTTATAACTCATTTATTGAATCACATTTCTTTTTTTAAAATCGTGCAGCCTCCCAAGCCAGAGTAGGCTCAGAGAGACTCCATTGAATCACTTTTGAGTTTATTTATAATTTTAGCCATTTCTACTGCTTGATGTCAGGGATTAATTTCATGAGTGTTAAATGAAATCACATTTTAAAAGTTTATTCCTCCTAAGGGGTACCTAGTTAAATATTTGTTTAAGAAGATGAATGATCAGGTCTGTGTACAACTTTTCTATCAGTATATTTAGTGATTTCATAGATTATAAATAAATTTTGTCATCCTGAAGTCTGAATTCATTTTGAAACTCCCTGGTCCTGTGATTTAATGTTTATCAACATTCTTTTGACTCCATCACATCTGAGGGATATGGTACATATATCCACCAGAAACAGTGAATCATTAAGGTATTGATTCTAACATGTGTGGGACAGAATTGGCAATTGATTTGTCAGTTTCTTCTTTAAAACCATAACAATATTTTCTCCCCTTGTGAATTTTCTCTAGGCCATACTGGAGATGTTACTATTCAAACACAGATGCAGTCATTTATGTAGTAGACAGTTGTGACCGAGACCGAATTGGCATTTCCAAATCGGAGTTAGTTGCCATGCTGGAGGTAAGAAAACTTAACCACTTTAAAATGTGGGGAAATCACTTACATTTGCTATTTCCAGTACATATTATTACATTGAAGAATAATTAAAAAGAATGCAGGGGTTGTTCTCTCCATCCTTTTAATATTATTTTCTTTTATGCAAATGCTTTTCTATTCCAAAAATACAGTTGAGGAGAGGGTTGGAGACAAAACAAAACAACAACAACAAAAACTAACCTTGTAACTTCCTCTTCCTTTAAGCCAGATTGCTTGATTTTCCAGGAGGTTCAGAGCTCACTTAAACAAAAGCATCTATTCTAAGTCACTTATTTGATGTGACTAAAAAAATTTTTAGCTATTTCAGAAGGATTAAAGTTCAGAGGAATATGTATTTCTGGGTTGCTGGTACAATGCTAGCCTCACGTTTATCGTTTTTTACCCTTCCCAGTGTTGACAGTGCTTTAGCTACACGGACCTTCTTTCTATTCTTTGGACACGAGCTTGCACACCTGGCTTAGGGCCTTTTGCACTTGCTGATCCTTCTGCTTCTCTCCAGCATCTTTGCATGGGTGCCTTCCTGACATGTTTCTTCCCACATCTCTTCCCCAGAAAGAAGTCTCATTTATTCTCTAATCCTTTACCCTTCTTTATTTATACCAATATTGTTTTTCTTTTTCTTTTTCTTTTTTTTTTTTTTTGTAGAGATGGGGTCTAGCTATGTTGCCCAGGCTGTTCCCAAACTCCTGTCCTCAAATGATCCTCCTGCCTTGACCTCCTAGTGTTGGGATTACAGGTGTTAGCCATTGCACCCCACTTACTGTTTTTTTACATTATTTTAAAATTTATTTGTTGGCTGGGCGTGGTAGCTCACGCCTGTAATCCCAGCACTTTGGGAGGCTGAGGCGGGCAGGTCACCAGAGATCATCAGGAGTTCGAGAGCAGCCTGTCCAACATGGTGAAACCTCATCTCTACTAAAAATACAAGAAAATTAACTGGGCATGGTGGTGTGTGCCTGTAATCCCAGCTACTTGGGCGGCTGAGGCAGGAGAATCGCTTGAACCCAGGAGGCAGAGGTTGCAGTGAGCCGAGGTCGTGCCACTGCACTCCAGCCTGGGTGACAGAGTGAGACTCCATCTCAAAAAATAAAAATTTAAAAAAAAATGTATTTGTTTGCTTATGTATCTCTCCCTCTAAAATGTAAGTTCCTTGAGTTTACCCTGACAGGAGGAACAGTGTATAGCACTTAATTAAGAATTCAATAATTTTATTCACTGAAGTTAATAAGATCATATATTGGCTAACTGCTCAAATTCAGAGGATGCATTAAATCATCCATTTTTTAAAAATGAAAAAATAATCAAATGTACTATGATAATAATAAAATTGCCCTTGCTCTGGAAAATTAGATGGATAAGTTTCTTTCTCTTGTCAAAAACTGTGATTCTGAATTGTTTAATCAAGGGATGTTTAAATATAAGTTCTAGGCCAGTTGATACCTAGGTAAAAGCATCCTCAGAAGAGAGGACTATGGACTTTTGATTTTTTTTTTTTTTTTTTTTGAGACAGAGTCTTGCTCTGTCACCCAGGCTGGAGTGCAGTGGCGTGATCGCCACTCACTGCAATTTCCGCCTCCTAGGTTCAAGTGATTCTCCTGTTTCAGCCTTTGAGTAGCTAGGACTACAGGCTTCTGCCACCACACCCGGCTAATTTTTGTATTAGCAGAGATACAAAAATTGTATAGCATTTTTATACAAAAATGGTGTAGCAGAGATGGGGTTTCACCATGTTGGCCAGGCTGGTTTCGAACTCCTGACCTCAGCAGTTTGCCCGCCTCCTGATCTGCCCGCCTTGGCCTCCCAAAGTACTGGGATTACAGGAGTGAGCCACCATGCTCAGCCCAGGACTTTTGATTTCTTGAACTACTGACTTCATAATGGCTTCCAAGTTATAAATTGCAGACTTAATAGTTAAACATTTGGTGAATTTTTTCTTTTTTTAATACGTCATAGCATTATATTTATTATGAGAGCTTCTCAGACCAAATTTAAATGTAAGAATAAGATTTAATTGCCTTGGGTATAATGGGATTTTTAAAGAACAGCTTTATTTAGGTCTAATCACATGACATATTTTTATCATACAAAGTATTGCTTAAAAAGAATGGATTGTTGACTTCAGTTTACAATTCTTGAGTTGTGCAGGATTGTTGTTAGGTTACTTGCAGTGTTAGGATTTGACTTATAAAGTCTTACAGAGAAAGAAGTAAAAGTTGGATTCTTTCTTTAGGAAGTGACTTTTAATTCATCAATAAATATCATGTTATGTTAAGTACGGGCCGAGTGCGAGTCAGGACTGTTAATGTTAAAACACGGACACAGGCCAGGCGCTGTGGCTCATGCCTATAATCCGATCACTTTGGGAGGCCGAGGCAGGCGGATCACCTGAGGTCAGGAGTTTGAGACCAGCCTGGCCACCCACATCTACTAAAAATACAAAAATTAGCCAGGTGTAGTGGCGCACACCTGTAATCCCAGCTACATGGGAGGCTGAGGCAGGAGAATTGCTTGAACCCAGGAGGTGGAGGTTGCAGTGAGCTCAGGTCGTGCCACTGCACTCCAGCCTGGGTGACAGAGTGAGACTCCGTCTCAAAACAAACAAAATTAAAAATATATAGTATAGACACAAAAGCAGTTTAGGTTTCAACTTTTTTTTTCTTTTTTGAGATGGAGTTTCACTATTGTTGCCCAGGCTGGAGTGCAGTGGTGCAATCTTGGCTCACTGCAGCCTCCGTATCCTGGGTTCAAGCAATTCTCCTGCCTCAGCCTCCTGAGTAGCTGGGATTGCAAGCATGCACCACCACACCTGGCTAATTTTTGTAATTTTAGTAGAGACTGAGTTTCATCATGTTGGTCAGGCTGGTCTTGAACTCCTGACCTGGTGTTCCACCCACCTCGGCCTCCCAAAGTGTGAGGTGTGTGAGAGCCACTGTGCCTGGCTACTGTGCCTGGCCTTTCAACTTTCTTATACACAAAAATGTATTCTAAATGGGTAAATAATTAAATGTAAAAAATGAAAATTATAAGAACATATAAGGAATTCAAAAGATGAGATTTAATTAACGTAAACAGTCCCCCCCAAAGCTCAGATATGGCAAATATAAACAAGATTAAGATAAGAAACCAGGCCTAACCAGAAACCAATGACTAAGGATTAGTGATCTTAATCATAGCAAGATCTTTTGCAAAATGAGCAAAAGGCAGTTCATAGGGGGAAAACATTGCTAATAACATTTGCATTTGCTTTTAAAGAGACAGGGTCAGCAGGGTGTGGTGGCTTATTCCTGTAATCCCAGCACTTTGGGAGGCTGAGGCAGGCGGATCACGAGGTCAGGAGTTCGAGACTAGCCTGACCAACGTGGTGAAACCTCATCTCTACTAAAAATAGAAAAATTAGCCGGGCGTGGTGGTGGGCGCCTGAAGTCCCAGCTACTCAGGAGGCTGAGGCAGGAGAATTGCTTGAACCCGGGATGCGGAGGCTGCAGTGAGCCAAGATTGCACCACTGCAACTCCAGCCTGGGCGACAGAGGGAGACTCCGTCTCAAAAACAAAACAAAACAAAAAAGGGCGTCTCCCTTTGTCCCCTAGGCTGGCATGCAGTGGCACAACCAAAGCTTATTATAACCCTTGAGCTCCTAACTCTGCTTCCTTTTTTGTTCATTTTTTAAAAAAAATTTTTGTAGAGACCCGTGTGTTGCTCAGGCTGGTCTCAAACTCCTGGACTCAAGCGATTCTCCTGCCTCAACCCATTTGCATTTCGAATACCCTAATAATATATAATGAGATGCTGTGTTTGGAAAAGTAAATAATTCCCAACTCTGCAAAGGCTGCATTGAAGATGGAGACTTTTATACACTGTTGGTAGGGTAACCTTTCTGGAAAGCTGTTCATGCATGTATTCAGTTTATCAAAGCCTGAAAAAAGCTGTTTATACTTTAACTCCATTTTTAGAATATTGTGTTAAGAAAGCAGATTCAAACAAACATTTTTGTATAAAGACCCTGTCACTTGGGTTTATCTAATAGTCCAGTGGAAAGAATCTAATAAGAGTCTAATACTAGAAAATAGTTAACACAGTTTATGGTGGCTGCATCCATAGTGTAGAGCATATTTAGCCATTTTTTTATTTTGAAAACATTGTTATAGTTTGGAGAAACATGATTTTAATTTTTAATTTTTAGGCAGGGTATAGAACTATATATAAATCTGATCTTAAATGTGTGAATGTATTTACTAAATAAGCTCTTAAGTATCTGCAAAACAAAGTACTAGTAGAAAACGCCCAAAATGTTAACAGTGATCATATTTGGGAGGTAGGATTATGGGTGAAGCTTCTTTTCTTTATAATTCTCTATGATTTCATAATGTATAATGAATATAATATATTAATAATTATAAAATACACTTTTAAAATGTATTTTTGGACATTTTCTAAACTCGAGAGAGCACATTGGTTAAAGGAAATTAAATATTTTCAATTTCGTTTAGGAAGAAGAGCTGAGAAAAGCCATTTTAGTGGTGTTTGCAAATAAACAGGACATGGAACAGGCCATGACTTCCTCAGAGATGGCAAATTCACTTGGGTTACCTGCCTTGAAGGACCGAAAATGGCAAATATTCAAAACATCAGCAACCAAAGGCACTGGCCTTGATGAGGCAATGGAATGGCAAGTATCATGTTTCCAGAAGCCATCTGTGCATTTGTGTGTGCTTGCAGCTATGCACGTCCACGTGTAATTTTTCTCCAGTGTTGAGGATGAAACTTTGATTTATTTAGCAGTTTATTTCATAAGTTCCTCCAGCCTTTTCTCCCACTGGTCTTCAGGTGCATCCGTCTTCTCAACCACACCTACCTGATGACAGTTACAATTCTTTGCCAATTTTTTTTTTTTTTTTTTTTTTTTTTGGGACGGAGTCTCGCTCTGTCACCCAGGCTGGAGTGCAGTGGCCGGATCTCAGCTCACTGCAAGCTCCGCCTCCCGGGTTCACGCCATTCTCCTGCCTCAGCCTCCCGAGTAGCTGGGACTACAGGCGCCTGCCACCTCGCCCGGCTAAGTTTTTGTATTTTTAGTAGAGACGGGGTTTCACTGTGTTACCCAGGATGGTCTCGATCTCCCGACCTCGTGATCCGCCCGTCTCGGCCTCCCAAAGTGCTGGGATTACAGGCTTGAGCCACCGCGCCCGGCCTCTTTGCCAATTTTTAGCCTTTTCCTTGCCTCACCTCACCCTCCAATTCCTTATCCTTCAGGAATTAGCTTCAGGCTGTCTTCTGAAGAGCTTTTCCTAATATATCTCTATTCCTACTGCCTAACCACTCACCTAAAGTTAGATGCCCTTGTCACAGATTAGTGACATAGTACTTGTTATGCTGTCTTGTAATTGTTTGATTTGTTCATCTACTCATTAGATAATCACCTCCTTGAGGACTGAGACTAGTTTCACCTCTGAGTCATCCATATGTAGCCCAGAAGTAGTAGTAGCCTGGAAAATAGATATTTGGTCTTTTTTGAATTTTTCATTCAAATCATAGACAAATTCAAAGCTTAAAGGAACCTTATGGAAATGTAGTGCATAACCTCATCTATGTTAGCTGTGTTTATTTTAAGTACTTTGGAATCCACCTCTAATACAAAGTTTATTATAGATGATCATGCTTTATGCCTGAAAGTTAATTTTATAAAACAGTTCATTTTCTCTTTACAGGTTAGTTGAAACATTAAAAAGCAGACAGTAATTCAGTCCATTCTTCTCCCCTGAAACGAAGACTACATCACCCTTTGGAAACAGACAAGTGTACTTCACACTACTAGATGTTAAAACTATATGATTGTTTGGCATATACTGACTGACTGCAATGTTTGTGGTAAATAGGGAAAAGAAATATTTGGTTGGAGGGATAATTCGATCGAATCACCTGAATGTTCTATGTAATGTAAAATATTCTTTTCTTGCTTTCTTGTGTTAAGGTATATATTCTATTTGTATGGAATTCTTATTCAAATACAGTTCTATTAAAGAATGTACTCCTATTGGATGAAAAAACCTATTTTTGAATAGTAGTTGCAGCTTGTTTGTATAAATACTAAAAAATATCTTAACAGATTTTTTCCCCCTTAAAATGAATTATCTTTCCAAAGATTAGACTCAGTAGAGTAGGTGAGGAACATAGTTTGTATAATATAATCTTTATTTGCTTATCTGACCACTTTTTATTAAGCTGTTTTGTTTAAAAGCTTTTGGTTTTAGGCATGAATATTATTTTGATGGTTAACTTCATTGACTTATCTGCAGTTGTCATTTTATAGTACTTTACAGTTGTCAAAAAAAAATCTCATGTTGACCTAGCTGATCTGTACAGGAAGCTTGTGAAGTAGGTAGGACAGGTTATGATTCTTCACTGTATGGACATGGACCCAGGTTGGCTTGCCCAAGGTCACCTGCTAGCTAGTAAGGTGGGGATAAGGCTCAAAGTAAAACTTTTGGTTCAGAAGCCTGACTTATAAACTATACTATATATTCCCAAAAATGTCAGTATTGACAACACAGTCTAACTCTTTAATAAAATTACGCTAATTAAAGCAGTTACATTCAAAATAATGTCTATAAACTTACTTGTCTATACTAGTAGAAGTGATCAGTGACATACTATAAATAATCCTAAATGGTTATATTTGATGGAATTCATAACACACAAGAGAAAATTTCACATTAAAGGAAAGGAAGGTTTAAAAATCTATTTCCAGGTTATAAAAGGTGTCTTTACTGGTTTTCATTCCTTTTATCTACCATGTCCAATATTTGGTCTTTTTTGAATGTAAACTTGTTACACTCAAACATGTAAACTTGTTAAAAATCAAAATCTTACTGATTATACAGGGGGAAATGAAGCATTCTGGTTTAAAAATTAGGCTTATTGCTAGATTGTAAGTTTAAAAACAATTCATGTTCAAAGGAGCTTTTCAAATTACCCAGTCCACCTCAGAATTAACTAATGTGACAGAAGTAAATATAGTGCTTCATAATTGCTAAAAACGGGTGAATTTCTTTCACTTAAGTTGGAAAACCAGCGTTTAAGAAATTAGGTGCTGGTATTGAGAGCTTAATACCATGGATCCCCGCAGGTCTCGGAAACATTAGTTCCTTTCTTGGCCTTCACTGTGCTTCCAGTGTTGGCCTCTGACCTCTTCCCCTCACATTTATGTTCGTTCTCCAGGCTTATATTCGTTCTCTGCAGCTTTCTCCCTTCACCTGCGGGACTCTCACCCTTCTTGCTCATTCTCCAGCACCCATTCCTACTTTAGTCTCTGAAATCTTTTTTGGAGATTTTCTTTCAGCTACAAGTGTTCCAGTACAACCAGTATTACTCCTGAGGGGCAGAGACTTTTTCATATTTATGTCCCTAGTATCTGGTGTGGTGCCTGGCATATGGCATTTCAGAAGTATGTTCATAGTTGAAATAGTACGATAGATATTTGTCATCTTGACAAGTAGCCCCTTTGCAATTTATAGTTGAGTTCATTTCTGGTCAGTGGCACATGGCTGGAAAATGCAGAAAACAAGTTCACTTACAGCCTGAGGCTTGTAAAGCTTGTACAGCTGCCTCCTGGCAGTTCAGGAAAACTGCAGAAAATGGGAAGTAAGGTCCGGTAGGCAGACCTGGCATGTAGCCATCTTGAATCCCAGGGCATGAACTTGCCCCAAAGGTCAGCACTTGATTAAGCCTCATCCCTCTGGTTTATCACAAAGAATAGGGTGGGATAAAGAGAGTGGACACTTAAACAAGCCATAAATTATATGGTCCTTGTCTAGCAGGAGACAACTGCACAGGTATGCTACCAGTGTTTGGATATTGATACTTACATGGCAAATCTGAATATTGTTTTATGAGAGGCCTGGCAATGGGAAAAGCACCAAACTTGAAATTAGAACATAGGTGCAAATGGCCACTCCTGCAGTTTCTTTTCTGTAAAATGGGACCTGGAAAAATGATACCAAATGTTTCTTTCTGACATGCTATTTTATAACTCTGGCCTATGGTTGTGTTGTATCTTGCTACAAAAAAAAAAAAAAAAAAATTGAGAGTGGTAGAATTACTTCTGTTATCTGAAATACCTGAGATGCATTTTAAACTGTTGAAATGTAAGCTCTGAGGGCTGGGACCGTATCTTATTTACTGTTAGTATCCCTTGCATCTAGTGTGGTGCAGGTGCACCTGGCACACAGTAGGCACTCAATAAATATTTATTGATTAAAAACAAAGACGTCTTCAATATCCCAGATATATTTGTTCTTTCTGATCTTTGCCTTGGTATTTTATTTTAAAAAAATTTACGAAAGCAATACATGCATTTACTTTAGGTCACTTAGGATGAATTAAAGTCAGTCTTCTAAGATGGCCTCCTTCTGACACATTACGAAGCCCTTAGAAGGGTGAGAACTCCTGTTTGAGATACACACTATATCAAAGCACAGGTGCTTAAGTGAATGAACATTTGATTCCTATGCCACATGCTATCTCATTCTTAGCCCATAATTACAAATTATAGCATGGACTTTTTTTTTTTTTTTTGAGATGGAGTCTCACTGTCGCCCAGGCAGGAGTGTGGTGGCACGATATCGGCTCACTGCAACCTCTGCCTCCCAGGTTCAAGTGATTCTCCTGGCTCAGCCTCCCGAGTGGCTGGGACTACAGGTGTTGTGCCCCCACGCCCAGCTAATTTGTGTACTTTTAGTAGAGACGGTTTCATCACGTTGGCCAGGCTGGTCTTGAACTCCTTACCTCAAGTGATCCACCTGCCTTGGCCTCCCAAAGTGCTGGGATTACAGGTGTGAGCCACCGTGCCCAGTTCAAAGCATGGACTTTCAATCTTGATTGTACCACCTACATCCTGTATCACCCTTAGGCAAGTTGTTTACTCTGAGTCTCAGTTTCTTCATCTGTAAAATAGGAACCAATTGTAGGAATCTCTCAGGAATACTAGGATTAAACAAAATGTATCCAAAGTGCCTGGCACATAGGGTGGATTTTCCACTCCATATGTCCCCAAGTATGTGGGGCACTAAAGAATATTTCTTCCACACCAAGTATAGAGTGAGGCAAAAGATGCTATACGGTTGAACAACAGAAACAACTTTAGCCACCTCTAAATAAGCATGGCTTATTACCATTTTAGTTGTAAATAGTAAACCTTAAAAGTAAAGTTTCAAAGAAACCACTTGTTTTCTTTGTACTAATAACTTAGTACAAATGTGGTTTTGGCCGAACATTAGAAAATGTTTTTATCAGGAAATATTTTATGTACAGAAAATAATGTAATGAAGCATTATAAACTTCGAAATCTGGCACCAAATGTAAGACATTGAACATTATGAGGACAGTTTAAGTCCCCCAACCCCACCGTGTGCTTCTCCCTTGATTCTGTTCCTTCGCACAAGTACCCTCTATCCTGCAACTTTGAAATCGTTAATTTTTTTCTACAGATTTATCATATATGTACACACAATTTTATTACAGTGGTATTCAACTATTTTTCTTTTCCCCCCACTCAACATTGTTTCTAGAATATCATCTTTATTGATATATATGTAATTAGCTGATTTATGCTAATGTATTTCAGTATATGAATATACCATTTTATTCTCTTGTGGAAGGACATTTGGATTGCTTCTAGTTCTTGACTTTTAGCAATGGTTCATGAACATTCTTCAGATCCATGGTTCATGGTTTCTCTAGGAGTGGAACTCGGGATCAGGGAGTATAACCGTCTTCAGGTTTACAAGATAATGTCAAACTGCTTTCCCAAGTGGTTTATAAGATTTCCTATGGCTCCACCATGCTTGTCAGCACTTAGTATTGTCAGCTTTATCATTCTGATGGTTTCAAAATGGAATCTCATTCTGGTGATAATTGGTATTTTCCTAATTACTGATGAGGCTGAATATAGGAGTGACTCAAACAATTTAACAACTAGCCATAGCTAGTACAGTAGGACTCCGACTAGTCCAGGTATTCTTTAACTTCTGGTGTGAGAAGGTATGTAATCTAACGACTTCATGTAGCCAGGGTAGCACTTGGGGGTCTCAATGTTATGACTACTTACCAAGCAGTCCATAATACTTAAAAAAAAGGCCGGGCGCGGTGGCTCAAGCCTGTAATCCCAGCACTTTGGGAGGCCGAGACGGGCGGATCACGAGGTCAGGAGATCGAAACCATCCTGGCTAACACGGTGAAACCCCGTCTCTATTAAGAAATACAAAAAACTAGCCGGGCGAGGTGGCGGGCGCCTGTAGTCCCAGCTACTCGGGAGGCTGAGGCCGGAGAATGGCGTGAACCCGGGAGGCGGAGCTTGCAGTGAGCTGAGATCCGGCCACTGCACTCCAGCCTGGGTGACAGAGCGAGACTCCGTCTCAAAAAAAAAAAAAAAAAAAAAAAAAAAAAATACTTAAAAAAAAAATGACACAGCCATATCAGCTAACAGTGTTTAAGGACCATTTATGTTTCTCCTTTTGTGCAATGCTCATTTCTCTCTTTTGCCACTTTTTCCACTATATTGTCTGTGTGGATTCATCAATATTCATTGTGTGTCCTGGTACTACTAATTGTTTAACAGTATGTGTTGTGTGCCATGTCCCAGTTTGTGTCTTTTCCTAAGTAGAAGTTCTTAATGAAGAAGGATTTACTACACATTCTCTCTATAGATAGTTTTTGTGTCTTACTTTTGATATCCAAAAGGGCAAGCCCCTCATCCTGTTCTACTTTTGTAAGAGTGTCATGGTTATTCTCGACTTAATATCTTCCATATAATTTTTAGAATCAGCCTGTTGGGTTAACGTGAATAACTCTTGGGATTTTGCTTAGATACACACTTAACCAAAGGGATCAACTTGGGGAAAAAATTGCATGTTATGGTCCTGAATCTTCCTAGCCATGAACATGGTTATAGTTCTCTATTTGTGCAGATCTTTCTTACTGCCTTTTCCTAAAATTTTAGAATGTACTATATAGCAGTATTTGCAAATCTTTTGTCTGATTATTGCTAACTTTTACATTTTTTCTTGCTATTTAAAAATTTATCTTTTTATTTATAAATTATATTTTAAACTCTTTGGTGTCACATGCTTTTTAGACAGTGAAGACCCAGTAGTAGTATAAAGTGTTTTATTTATTTAAAAAATATGAGCATGATTACATTAAACTATATATTATACAACCTATCCAAAGTTTAACTTAAATTAAAACCTGGTTGGGCACGGTGGCTCACACCCGTAATCCCAGCACTTTGGGAGGCCGAGGCAGGTGGATCAGTTGAGCCCAGGTGTTCAAGACTAGCCTGGCCAACATGGCGAAATCCTGTTTCTACAAAAGTACAAACAATTTGCCGGGCATGGTGGTGTGTGCCTGGGGGGCACAGCTACTTGGGAGGCTGAGGTGACAGGATCACTTGAACCCAGGTGGAGGCTGCGGTGAGCTGTGATCGCATCACTGCACTCCACCCTGGGTGACAGAGTGAGACCTTGTCTTGAAAAAAAAAAAAAAAGAAAGGAACCCCCCCACCAGCCTGCTGTAATTTCAGACTAGAAGAATATTCCAGAAAGTTCATGCTTGTATCAGCACAGGGAGACATTACTCCACCATTGCTAAATCTTTCAGGCTGTGACTTTTTTGTCTCTTGGCCTTATAGCCTGGACGCAGGAACTCTATCTTTCTCTTCTTTGCTTCACTTTTATTTTTGTGTTTCTTCATTTTTTTCTTGGCAGCAATATCAGGATTAGTTACAAACTAGAAAAGAGAATAGAAATTTTATATTACTTTTAAAGTAAATGTTAAACCAATAAGAATCAAATACAGAAATAAATGTAAAAAACACATGCTCATTAAAGAAAATCTGAAGCCCCAGCTATAAATTTTCCCCAACCACTCAAACCCTTGATCCTCCCTGAGTGTGTGACACAAACATGCACACTTAGTAGTTATCAAGTCCAGTGAACATGCCATATTTTCAAAGAGCAAACTTACCTCCAGGGCCTTCCTCTTTTTCCGGAGTGCCCTTTTCTCATTAGCCTGTTTCTGTACAGAGGCAAAGGCTAATGAGAAGCTCTCAAGCCCAACCAGCTTTTTGAGTAATTCTATGATTTCCTGGGATAGATTCTTCAGCAAAGGATCTAATCACACACAAAGAGTAATGATCAGAGTAAAGACAGGTAGGAAAGGACACATTTGAACATCAACAGAATCAACAAAATCAAACAAAATCAACAATATGTGCAGCATTTATATCCAGCTATTGATCTGGCAAGAAACCAAATAAAACAACAAAAATAATTTAAACTCTTGCAGCATTATCACCATTACTTCAACATTAAACACTGATATAAAACTAGCCTCTATGTTCCTGGGATGGGGAAACCAGCAATGCTAGACACAGCACTCCAGCCACCACCTCACCCAGGATGCAACAAGAAATCAGAGAACATGAGGCCCACTTCCCAGCGGAAACCTGGCCCTGAAGACGTTAAAGTAACTTGGGACCTTGACAGAAACGTTTTGAATTACCTCTGTTTACCTGCTGAGCTCTTGCAGATAGGGGGAAAAGTAAGAGATTCCCTCTCTAATCCATGATGGATCACAGAGGCTTAGCTCTGCCCACAGTAACTTTTTTTGGGGGGTGCGGGGGATGTCAAAGCCTCCTTTGTGCAGTTGACAAAAAAGCTGTATCTCCCACCCTTCTCTGCCACTCACCCCCAATTTCAATTTCACAGGAGTTCAGGACATCTGTTCTAGATCACAAGCTTCTTGAAAACTTTCCTGCTGTTGAATCCCTAGTGCCTGGCAGATATTAGGTGCTCATTAAATGTTGGCTGACTTGAACCAAAGCACACCTGAACCTGATTTTGTCAGCAGCCTCAACCTTTACCATTGCTTTTTCCTTTCGAAGAGTGAGCAAACTTCCTCTCAAGGTTGTAGGACTGTAACAGCTCTTGCTTCGACATTTGCTTCATTTGTTTTATTTTTAAACTCTGAACATTCACTTTACCTCCTCTCCTTCCAGCCTCCAATTCCCTCTTTACCTGTTATTACCAACAATTACAATAAGTGAGGGAAATGTTATCAGGCAAGGAAAAAGAAGAAATGTTAAAATGATAGTTTAAAACTATTTCATATAAAAATGATAATACTTATATTTTTGCCTTATATAATTTTGTTTTGTTTTGTTTTTGAGACAGTGTCTCACTCTGTTGCCCAGGCAGGAGTGCAGTGGTG